ATGACTTAAAGTTGAGCTGTATTCCTGGAGTAAAAGAAGCACTACCTCAAGCTTGTGCACCAGGGGCCAGGGGTCTGGTCACTGGCTTGCTGTGCTGGGGCCTCGAGGGATGGAGGTTCACCTATTGTGCCAGAAGGAGAACTCCAGGGCTGGTGGCTCACATACTGCACTGGGGTTTGAGGACTCACAACTGGCACTCTGTGCCACTGGCCAGCTGATCAGGGACCACAGGGCCTTGGTTGCTGATCTGTGCTGGGGCTAAGGGCCTCCTACTGGCTTGCCTGAACATGACCTGTACTGGGCTATGCTCCTCTTTTGCCCAAGCAAGACATACTTTTCCTGTGGTCCTTTTAAGTTATCCTGGGCTAGAAAATTGTTTCACTCTGTGTTTTTGTGGGTTCTGTTGCTCCAGAATTCATTTTGAGGCTTGATTTTAAGTTGTTTTGAAGGAAATTGGGGAGAGCTCAGGCAACTTCCTGCTTTTTCTCTACCATCTTGGCTCCACTCTGAAAAGTAGATTTAGGATATAAAGCATGCAGTCTGTAAGAGACATCATGGTATGGTGGCAGGAGTACTGGATATGGAGTCAAAAGTCCTACATTCGAATTCTGATTCTACCATGTACTAACTGTGTGACCTTGGGCAAATCCCATGACCTGTAAGGTATCTTCTATCTCTAAGCCTAAGATCCTATAAGTAATAAAATCATAGGGCTTTGTACTTTCATGTATTTTTGCAGGACATCTTATTATGTGACATGCCATTATATAATTCACTATATTGCATTTTTATTGTAAGACTGAGAATTGCCTAATTGCACTAAGAACATGGAGCCAATTCAATTTAATTCAACAAATATTTATTTAATGCAAAGTACTGTGACAGGCTCTGGGAATACAAAGAAAAAAACTAAACAGTCCAAGTCTTAAAAGAATTTATATTCTAGTGGGGTAATACAACATTTACACAGATAAGTAAATGCAGTGTAATTCAAGGGGAACAGCACTAATTAATAGCAGGGCAAGGATTAGAACTGCCTATTAGACATCTCTAATTGGGTATCCCACATGCATCTTAAACTCAACATGTCCAAAACAAAATTCATTATTTTTCCCCAAAACTTGGTAGTATTCAGCTATTCAGTCGCATCTGACTCTTCATGAGTTCATGGACTATGGCACGCCAATCCTTTCTATCCTCCACTATCTCTCAAAGTCTGTGCAAGTTCACATTCATTGTTTCCATGACATTATCTATCCATCTCATCCTTTCCCATCCTTTTTTCCTCCTGCCTTCAATCTCTCCCAACATCAGAGTCTTTTCCAATGAGTCCTGTCTTCTCATTATATGGCAGAAGTATTTAAGTTTCAGCTTCAGTATTTGATCTTCCAGTGAATAGTCTGAATTAATTTCTTTAAATACTGACTGATTTGATCTCCTTATTGTCCAAGAGATTCTCAAAAGTCTTCTCCAGCACCACAATTTGAAAGTGTCAATTCTTCAGTGCTCAGCTTTCCTCATAGTCCATATATTGCTCCTGGGGAAACCATAGTTTTGACTATATGGACCTTTATTGGCAAGGTGATGTCTCTGTCCTTTAGTATGCTATCCAGATCTGCCATAGCCTTCCTTCCAAGAAGTAAGCACCTTTTAAATTCATGGATGCAGTAACCATTTGAAGTGATCTTTGAGCCTGAGAATATAACATCTGATACTGCTTCCATTTCTTCTCCCTCTGTCTGCCAGGAAGTGATAGGACCAATTGTCATGATCTTTTTTTTTTTTTGGTCAAGCTGCAAGGCAGCTTTTTTTTTCTTTTGCAAGCCAGCTTTTACACTGTCCTCTTTAACTCTCATCAAGAGGCTTCTTAATTCTTCTTCACTTTCTGCCATCAGAGTGGTATCATCTGCAGATCTGGAGATGGTGGACATTTCTCCCATCAATCTTAATTCTGGCTTTTGATTCATCCAGCCTGGCATTTCACATGCTGTACTCAGCATATAAGTCAAATAAATAAAGTGACAATATATGGCTTTGTCATACTCCTTTTCCAATCTTAAACCAGCCATTTGTTCCATGTTCAGTTCTAACTGCTGCTTGTTGGCCCACATACAGGTTCTTCAGGAGACAAGTAAGATGATCTGGTACTCCCATCTCTGAAGATTTGCCACATTTTATTGTGATTCACATAGTCAAAAGTTTTAGTGTAGTCAATTAAGCAATAGGTGTTTTTCTGGAACTTCCTTGCTTTCTCCATAATCCAGTAAATGTTGACAATTTAGTCTCTAGTTCCTCTGCCTCTTCAAAAATCAGACTGCTCTTCTGGTAATTCTCAGTTCACATATTGCTGAAGCCTACCTGGGAGAATCTTAACCTTGCTGGCATGTGAAATGAATACAATTGTTTGGTAATTTGAACATTTCTCAGCATGGTCCTTCTTTATGATTGGGATGTAAACTGATATTTTCCAATCCTGTAGCCACTGTTGAGTTTTCCAAATTTGCTGGCATATTGATTCAAGCAGTTTAACAGCAACATCTTTTAGGATTTTAAATAGCTCAGCTGGAATTCCATCTTCAAAACTTACCCCTCTTCTAAATTTCCTTATTACTGTTGAAGACATTACCATCTTTACAGTCAGTTACATAAGGTTCAGTGTTAGCCTCACTCCTCACTCATGTCACATATCTAATCAGCAGCCAGATCTTATTGTTTTTAAGGAACTGTACTGAGTCCAAAATTTCTCAGCCCCATCCTTCCTTTGAAACTTTACTCATATGAGCCATAGATGAAGGAGAATAGTAGCAGGATATGAATAATTTAATTGAAACAATTAGGAACTGTCAGATCTTTTAAATTATAATAGTCATGAGCTTCATCCAGTCTTCTCATTTACAATCCTATGCCACCTTTCCAGACAGTTCTAGAGGACTGTGACAACAATACAACTCAGGAGACTTGGTCTTAAAGGATTTTATCCAAGGATATTAAGCAGGGGTCCCACACCAACAATGCTAAAACATTAGTAGCAGCACTTCTGCAGTATCAAAACACTGGAAATCAATCAACAAGCATTCATTAAGCATCCAGTATGTGCCAGACACATAAGGCACAAGGGCAGCTAGAAGGCACAATAGAGGGTCAAGCCTGGACTCAGGAAGGCCCAACTTCCTGAGTTAAAGTCTGACCTCAGGCACACACCAGCTGCGTGACCCTGGGCAAGTCATTTAACCCTGTTTGCCTCAGTTATCTCATCTGTAAAATGAGTTGGAGAAGATAATGGCAAGCCACTCCAGTATCTTTGCCAAGAAAATTTCAAATGGGGTCACAAAGAGTTAGATACAACTTACCAACAAAATGTGCCAGGCACTGTGCTACAAAATACAAAAACAAAAAAGAGCACACAAAAGCAAAAATGAAGAAATAGTTTCTGCCCTCAAAGAGCTTACACTCAATTGGAAACAAAGTGTGTACACATCAATTGGGAGATGGCTGAACAAAATGTGGCACACGAATGTAATTGAAGAGTATTACACTGTAAGAGACAGCAAATAATTCATGAAGTCCCTCTTTAATTTCTGCTACCTAGAATCCTTGGCTTCTTTCAAGAATTAGGTCAAGTGCCACCTATTTGAGGCCTATCATGATCCCCCTGCTGTAAGTGCCCTACCACCAAAATTACTTTGTATTTATTTGTTATGTATTTTATACTTATTTATCCATGGACATATTTTCTCCCAACATAATGCAGGCTTCCTGAGGGCAGGGATTGTTTCGTTTTTTCTTTGCTTCAAAGTACTTAGTTTTTTCACTTGTGGGTACTCAGTAACTGCTTTTTGAATGGGGGGAAAAAAAAGAAATTTCAAGGAACATCCTGGAAAATTCATATGAACCAATGCAGATTGAAGGCACAACGAGGAGAGCAATATTCACAATTATTATAATAATGTGAATGAAAACAGTATAAAACATATGAATTCAGGTTAAATCCAATGAACATTATTGGTTCTAGATCAGTTGTCAAACTCAAATAGAAATGGATAAGTGCAGACACATATTAATTTAGAAAACAACAAATTAACATTATTTATATTGTATTGTATTTTACTTAGTTTGTTTGACATTTCCCAATTACATTTAAATCTAGTTCAAGCCACTTGGGAAATTTGCAGCCTACCTGTGGTCTATGGTAGTGCCTAGAATTTGACACCTATGTTCTAGATTGTAAATAATGAAACATAGCTTCCACCTCTTGTGAAGGGGCAAAGGGTAAAAGGAAACTATAGATGTCAAATGTCACATATATTGACAGTCATGGCCCTTTTTAGTAACACCTTTCCCCATGACTTTCTGTATTCCCTCATGCCTTCTCTGGTTACTCATAGTCCCCCACTTCAGTGACTTACAGAAAGCCTTTCCTCCAGCATTCTCTCAACCTTTACCTCTTCATTTTCCCTAATTAAAATGTACCTTTTCTACAATGTTAATCCTGTCAGGCCCTGTTCTCTGCTAAGTGGTAATGGATTGTTGCTTAACTGATATATGTCCCTCTGAGGTAATCTAATAACATGGATGATAGAATGTTAGAACTAGAAGGGACCTTAAAGATTATCTAGTCTAAACCCAGTATTTTATAGATGCAAATATATAGGTTTAGAATGACTGAGACTTTTGCAAGTCACACATCGGACCTTAGGTTTTCTAACTGCTAATCCAATATTCTCTCCATTAAAGCATATTTTAACCCAATTAAATTACACATTTTCAAGAATTCCCTTAAGAAATGACCCCCAAAACAGAAATTTCAGACATTCTAGGTCAATGGAGAAAATGTAAGTGGACAGAATATCCTTTCAGGACCATTCAAATCACATCACATTGGCAGTTCCTCATTATTCTATTTGTAACGTTGTCCCTATGTTTAACTAATGACAACATAACCATATTAAGCAATCTTTTCCCATATTCTCACACAACATATATAAATTTCCATAACTTACTTTTATTTGTTCCAATGACATCACCATCCCAACATTCCTAATTGTACGATACACACGTGTGGCAAATTCCACTTCCATGTGATGCAGACAGGCACTGCCCAATTCATTCCAAGCAGATGTTTCATTCAGAAGTTTGCATACTTCCCATGCTTCAGAAAATCTATAGTAGGCAGGAGAAATTTATTTGTCCAGTTACATTAGGGGACTGCAATATACATGTTCATATCCCCTCAAATTCCTTAATAATATCTCAATTCTTCAATCTCTTCAACTCCTTACTCTTCCACTCCACCTGTTCACACAGCAATGGTCATCTCAATAGGTCCAAAACAGAGTTCATTATCTTTTCCAAAAAAACTACCCATTTCAAATTTTTCTCTTTATGTTACAAGAACCAGAAGTCACCATCTTTCCAGTCACCCATCACCCAAGTTCACAACCCTGGCATTATTCTCAACTCTTCATTCTCATTCACCCCACTTATCCAATCACTTGGTAAATCTTGTCATTTCTACCTCTAAAATGCCTCTTGCAAACATTATTTTTCTCTCTACCCACATAGCTACCACCCTATTTCAAGCCTTCATCACTTCTAGGTAGACTATTTAAAATACTCTCCTATTTGATCTCCCTGACTAAAGAATCTTCTAACTCCAATCCATCCTCCATGAAGCTATTAAAGTGATTTTCCTAAAGCTCAGACCTTACCAAGTCACTTCCAAGTTAATAAACTTCAACAGCTTCCTACTGCCTTTAGGATCAAATATAGACTCTGTTTGCTTTCTAAAACTCTTTACAACCTGGTCCTGTCCTACTTTTCTAGCCTTGGTATACATTACTCCCTTCCCAAACTCTTTGGTCTAGTCAGACTACCCTATTTACTCTTCCTCACATGTGATATTCCTTCTCATATATGCATCTTTGCACTGTCCCTCATCCCTGGAATTCATTTTCATTTCACTTCCACTTCTAAGAATGTCTAGCTTCCTTTGAAACTCAGCTCAAGCAACTGCTTATACACAAAGTCTTTCCTCATCTCCCCTTTCCCCCATTGCTAGGGCCTTTCCTACCAAAATGACCTTGTTTTCATTTTATATATGTTTCCATGTTATATCTCATGGCAGAATGTAAGTTCTTTGAGAAACTACTTCATTCTTGTATTTGTATCTTCAGAATCCAGCAAAATACCTGGAATATGTTAGGCATTTAAATGTTTATCGATCAACTGACACATGAGACAAAATCTTAACTCATAAATTAACAATGAGGATTAACATAAAAATGATTCCTTTGTTTGTTATAAAAAATTCTTGATATGAAAACCTTACTTTAAAACATCTTAGCCCTATGATATTCCGGAAGTCAAAAGAGCTAGGACTAAAACCAAGAATCACCTACCCAGCAAAACTGAGTATACTCCTTCAGGGGAAAAAATGGATATTCAATGAAATAGAAGACTTTCAAGTATTCTTGATGAAAAGACCAGTGCTGAATAGAAAATCTGACTTTCAAATACAAGATTCAAAAAAAGCATGAAAAGCTAAACAGGAAAGAGAAATCATAAGGGACTTATTAAAGTTGAACTGTTTACATTCTTACATGGAAAGATGATATTTGTAACTTATGAGACTTTTCTCAATATTAGGAGGGTTAGAAAGAGTACACACATACACACACACACACACACACACACACACACAGAGGGTACAAGGTGAATTGAATATGAAGGGATAATACCTAAAAAATAAAATTAAGGGGTAAGAGAAGATTATGCTGGCAGGAGAAAGAGAAAGTTAGAATGGGGTAAATTATCTCACATAAAACAGATAAAAAGCTTTTACAGTAGAGGGAAGGAGGGGGGGAGGTAAAAGGGTATGAGTGAATCTTACTCTCATCAAATTTGGCTTAAGGAGGGAATAACATACACACTCAGTTGGGTATGGAAATCTATCTTACCCTACAGGAAAATAGGGCGGAAGGGAATAAGAAAGGGGGATGATAGAAGGGAAGGCAGATTGGGAGAGGGAATAATCAGAAGCAAACACTTCTAAAGAGGGACAGGGTCAAAGGAGAGAATAGAATAAACAAGGGACAGGATAGGATGGAAGGAACTATAGTTCGTTTTCCACAACATGACTATTATGGAAGCATTTTGCACAACTACACATGTATAACCTATACTGAGTTGCTTGCCTTCTCAATGAAGGTGGGTGGGGAGGAAGGGAAAGAATTTGGAACCAAAAGTTTTAAAAACAAATGTTAAAAATTGCTTTTACATGCAACTGGGAAATAAGATATACAAGCAATGGGGTATAGAAATCTATCTTTACTTTGTTTTTGTATAGCAATTTAGAAATCTGATATATATGTATATATACACATACATACTCACTATACTCATAGTGAATGCTGTTCACAATAAAGAGGAAATCCTCAACTTACAAAAATTCCAAAAGTTTACTTGTAACTGAGACTATTCCCACTGAAATAACATTATTAATGATAGTTAGGTTCTCAGGCTAGCCCACAACAGCCTTTCAAATCCACAATGGAGCTGGGTTATTGTACATTTGCAATGAAAATGAGTGGGAGGAAGGGAAAGGAAGAGAAGGGAATAAGCATTTATGAAGCATGTACTATGTGCCAGGCACTGTGCTAACCACTTTTCAACTATTATCTCATTTAATCCTCATTAACAACTCTGGAAGGTAGGTATTATTATCATTTCCATTTAACACCTGAAGAAACTGAGGCAGACAGAGGTTAAGTGACTTGCTCAGTGTCACACAACTATTAAGTATTTGAGGCTGGATTTGAATTCTGATCATCCTGATTACAGGCCCAGTGCTGTGTGCACTATTGCAGCTGCTGTGATACTAGTAATTAAGAAAAACAACAAGAAAGTCTTAAAACTTAACTTCAATTAAAGTATTTGAGGAAAAGGGCTTAACTAGAAAATGATGAGAAAGGCAGAGCCTTTTGGAAAGTCTGAAGCAGGTTTCAAGGTGAGGTTACACATCACTTTAGCAGTCAATGGCACTTGCTCTTTTACAGAATCTCAGAACTGGGAGAGAGTTTGGGGGAGTCTAGAAAGGTCACTGGAGCTCTCTTTCCCTTTACATTTTTCCCTCCTTCTGTGCCATTTAAAGAGAATATGCCAATAATATTCAGGCTTCCCCATGCCTCTCCTAAAATCTCTGAGGGAGGAAGAAAGGGTAGAACTAGCTTTGGCAGTGATGCAAAAAGGGAAGAAAGAGAGCACATCCCTATTACAGTAATAAGGACTGCTATATGTATGTTTTCCTAAATCTTCATTTTCATTCGAAATATCTGGTTACTTCATCAGATCTTCATCTGACATGGCCTCCAGTCCCCTCACCAACCTGGTCTCCTTCGCAACTTTAGTTTTTCCTAAAACGTGGTGCACAGAATTGAACACAATACACCAGATTTCCTTTCCCCCACCAATTTATAACTAAGTGATCAATTGTAAATCAATAAATTAAGCAGCCCCTGCCTTTCTCAATGTGATTACTAAAGAAAATAAAAGGTTAACTTCTATGAAACAGTCCAGGCTTAATGAACAGGCAGAGGATGCCCTGAGAATTTCACACTTCTCAAACTAAGAATGCTAAATTTAAACAGTTTCCTGTAAGTTTCACAATTCAATACAAAAGCATGGTATTAGCAAATAGGAATGAAAAAATAAAGCTGGTTCCACTTGCAGCAACCACAAAGAGGCACTGCTAATCGTGATTCACTCACTTATTGCCTAATACATTGGACTTATTCTGGATTCTGACACCAGTATGTATTCTATTTGTGTCTACCAATGAAATTTCTGGACTCATGCTCTCTCTACTAATTACTTTCTTTCCTTCCTATCTTCTTGTCTGTGTTTCAGCAGATCATTCTGTTAAGTTTATAACTTTAGAAAGCATTTAGTGGAATAAGAATACATAAACATACTAATATCAGAAGATTGTCCATGTGTACCAAACATCACAACATTCATTTAGTTGCCATTCTAATCCCTCAAGCAACAGAGAAGACAAGAAACTGAAAATTCAGTTCTAAATTTCTTCCAGTCCCATCCATTGCTCTGCAGGTAGCTGGGTAAAAAAGTTAACTCGTCCACAAACAATGCAGTCACTCAGCTGCACTAAGTACAGGAAAAGGTCACTTCTGTGTTTCTCCTAGAGGACACCCTATTAGTTAAGTGGAGATGAAGGCAGCCTTTTTTTTTCACCTTCCCTAGACATTCTATCAGTTTCACCATTCCTAGTTGTATCTCTCTTCTGTCTAAAGTGGGATCACATCATACGTTTACACATCTATCTGTCACTTGAGCACAACAAAGTCTATTTGATTTCCCCAAAGGGAATCAGCCAGGCTACTTAGCTCTCACCAAAAACAAACACCTGGACAGGAAGGACTACTTGGTCCAATAGACTTTTTCTCCCTCTTCTCTTCCCAACTCCTCTTTTCAAAAATGTCCACTCTTGTATCTGTCACCATTGAAACGCTTATATGTAATCATTACTACATTTTGTAGTAAGGCATCTGCAATGCTAATTCAAGTATTCAAATAAAGTAAATACAAAAACTTACTAGATCTCACAAGTTTCCATAATAGGTAAGAAATCTCTCTTATAAATATAATAACCTGATTCTACCCTACTCATCTTGTATTGACTATGTGATGGGAAAAGAGAAAGTAGTTACCAAATCCAACTCTGGGGGAGACCAAAAGAGGAATGCCATAATTATTGACCACTGGAAAACTTGAACACACAAGGACAATCTGGTCAACTGAAGGACCAAAGGGACAAAGAAGCAAGATAGTGATTGGGATGGACAGAGTCTTGCTCCATGTCAGCGTCCTGTCCTAGACTGCACTACAGTATTCTATTAGCCACAAATAGGCAATAGTCCTAGAAATTCCAGTCAATGAGCAATTAAGCCAGGAAACAGTAAAAGAAAAGGGTCAGAGGTTGACATGAATGATCAATGACCGTAATCAGAAAACAACAGGCATTAAAAGCCCACTTCAGCTCCTAATTTTCTATCCTACACCATATCTGGACATTGATGCCCTGGAAGGCCATTAAGTAGAGCAGCTTTAGGAAAAACTCTTGCTTGGACTGAGGATAGTGACATATAGTAGGTTTAGCACATTTAGTTCTAGACTCCTGAACTGTATCTTTCTGAAATTTCTGAGTTGTGGGCAGCAAGAGCCTGGGAAAAGCTATGGGCATGCAACTACAAGATGGTACTTAAATATGTTGTTCATTTTATTCTTATGTTGATTCTACACATAATTTTTAAAAAACCATTTATATAGTTAAGTATTGAATATCTGTTTGCTTGGATGATAAGATAATTATTGTATGATGACTCATTAAAATGTGGCTCATTCAGGAAAGAAGCAGGGTTTTCCAGTGGAATAGAGACTTTGAGTTACTCTGAGCTAACCATACCTCACAGACTAATAACCCAAGAATGGCCACTCAGAGAGAGTTGGCATTCTCAAAAAACCATAGAGTTAATCAGTCAATAATCATATATGCAATATTCTATTCTGTGCCAGGTAACATGCTAAACACTGGGGATACAAAGAAATGCAGAAGACAGACCCTGCTCTCAAGGAGCTCAGAGTCAAACTGGGGACTTAGCAAGGACTTGGAGAAAGCCAGGGAAGTCAGGAGGCAGAGATAAGGATGGAGAGATTTCCAGGCATGGGGACAGTCAATGAAAATGCCTAGATTTGGGAGATGGAATATTTTGTGTAAGGAAAAACAAGAATGTCAATCTTTCTGGGAGAGTAATGTATAAAAATACTGGAAAGAAAGGAGGAGGCCAGGTTGTGAAGAGTTTTGAATAAGAAAAACTAACAACTAGAACTATCCAAAAGTGGAATGATCAGTTTTGGGAGTGAGTAGTTTTCCCTTCACTAGAGGTCTTCAAGTAGAAGTTATATGAGCACATGAATGTTTTATGAAAAGAATTCTTGTTCAGGTACAGGTTGGGCCAGATAATCCATCAAGTCCTTTCCAACTCTCAGATTTTGTGATTTTGTGGAACATATGGATTGGCTGCAGGATAGCTGGGCAAGGGGAAAAAGAAGAAAGGGAATAAATGACTAGTCATCCATATGTTAGATATTGGAACTCAAGGAATATCTAAAACTTTGAAGGACTTAAGATAATTTGTTATGATTATTTTCTGATCAATTCATAGGTAAATAATATATATAAAATACTAGATAATAATATCACACCAGACAACAAAAGTAGAGGATTATTCTCAACAAAATAAAAAGGAGACTTACCTTTTCAGCATTAAAGTTTGCATCAGTATATGTCTCAGCTCACTACTTTTTGAGTCTGTACAATTGTTAAGAAAGCCATGGGTGCTAAGGAAAATATTGTTTATTTTTCCACTCTGTGTCTGGCAGGTTAATTCTCCATTATACAAAAGCAAAGGCTTATGGGAAAAGGGAACCTTTGTGCCTCCTGCCAAGATTACCTTGGACCCTATATTATAAAATCAGAAAATTATTTTTAGAAGTTTTTATATCTAATCCTTCCCCAATGACTGATAAAACATAAAATACACTAGTGTATATGTCAGTATAATCAGTGAGGATATCTGTGGAAATGTTCATTCTTCAAATATTCAGAAATGTAACTCCCATCATCTCTCCTCTTTACATAAATTTTCAGTTCATTTATGAACTCTATAGCTATGAAAATTTAATAGAAATACAGTAGGTACCTACTAAATAGAAGACAGATTTTTCTATGATTTGGCCATTTCTCTCCAGCTATGCCTTTACTTTCTCCCTTTTACATCATTCAAATTCATATTTAACAAATGTAATGAAAAAATAATTTATACCTAAAGAATATCTATTCTCTACAAAAGAATATTTGGCAAAAAGATATGTTGGTCTTAAATGTCATCAAAGGAATTTAGTTATGGAAAGACCAAAAGGATCTTGTTAAAGGAAATCTTATCTATGATGATATCCCATATCATTGATCAAGTGGGTAAAATTATAATGAGCCCCCAGTGAATTAAAATACTTCATGGCTTTCTTCTGACAGAAAAGTAAAAGAACAATTCTTTGTCATTCAGATTTGAATTTTACTTAAAATTATACTTTAAGTCAAATTGTTCATCAGTCCTTAATATAAACCTGTCATTTTCCCTTAATTTGAATGTCATCCAGTGAGCACTTGCTCAATACACTGAATAAAAGTTTTAATTTATCAAGCTCAATTTGAAATTCTGATCCAAGTATTAGATACAATAGGAAATACTATAAACTCAATGAGTGATTGATCAATAGCCTGAGGATTGCCGTTTCAAACTGAAAACATAGACTAAACTGACACTGAAATATCATGCATTTCAATAACATACAAATGCGATGACAAAACCTTATTGCAATTATATTCAGCTTTATCAAAAACATGTGAATTGAGCCATTCCTAATGGCTAAGTGATCAAAAGATATGAACAGGCTTTTTTTTCCCCAAAAACAGAAATGCAATCCATCAATAACAATATGCAAAAAGCTCCAAATCACTAATAAAAGGTGAAATGCAAAGTAAAACAACCCAGAGGTTCTCCCTCACATCCACTAGATTGACAAAGATGACAAAAGGTGACATTGGCAAATATTGGAGGAGTTATGGAAGGAAGGACAAGCACGTAAATGAATTCTTGGTATAACTTAAATTGTTTCCAACATTCTGATAATTTGGAAATATGCCCATAAAATCACTACACTGTACCAGAAATACCAGGCAGATCCCCACCCAGAAGAGGTCAAAGACAAAAAGATCCAAATATACATATAAATATATATATGTAGGCACCAATCAAATAGTGAATAACTAAAGAAACTTGTATGTTAATGGAATGGAATATTATTGCACTCTAAGAAATGACAGATATTAAGAATTCTGAAAGACCTGGGAAGATTCATTTGAACTGATGACATAGAGTAAAATAAGCAGAAAGGAAAAACAACTTACATGATAACCATAATAACATAAAGGAAAGCAACTCTGAAAGGCTTCAGAATTGATCAATACATACACATATATATATACATATATATGTATGTATGTATATACACATATATATACATACACACACATGTTTGTGTGTGCGCGTGTGTGTGTGTGTGTGTGTGTGTGTGTGTGTGTGTGTGTGTATAGTAAACCAGTCAAGGCTTTGGAAGAGTGATGATAAAGCATATCTTCAGCTTCCTGGCAAAGAGGTGATGGACCAGAGGTGCAAAACCAGACACAAAGATATGGTTAAAGGATAGATTTGCTTTATTTGACCACTCTCATTTGTTAGAAGGGAAGGTATCTATTTATGAAAGGGTAAGGGCAGTTAATAAGAAGTAATTTTAAAAAAAGAAAGAATATTAATAATATATTTTATAATACATAAAAAAGAAACTCACAAAGGGACATAAAAGTCTAAATTTTTTACTACTTTGTTAAATTTAATATATATTTAAAACAAATCCTTCAGAACAGAAGTTCATGGTTTCATATACAATTATATTTGTTCTTTGTGTACTAAAATATTTGTGTTTGCTTACGATTCTAAATTCATAATAAAAGGAAAAAATCCTTCTCTAGCACAGGATGGGGAGAAAGGGAGGAATACAGTTTAGAATTTAAAAAGCAACAAAAACAAATTTAATTTTTAAAAAAGGAAAAAATCAATGTTTGAATACATGGCATTGAGTATTTTAATCAGAAATAAATTATAGTACCTTCTATAGTATCCTTGTGAAAGACATAAGTATACGCTTTATCATCATCATAAGCCACAAATACACCTTTATCCATTGACCAATTTTCCCAAAGAATGCATTTGATGGTTGGTGGAAAATTTGGAATTTCATACACTGTGTCAATTACCTACAGTGAAACATATGCATTTAAAATATTCTATATACAAAAAGATTCATGTGTAATTATCTTTTGCAACCTCCAAATATCGTCCATATTTATTTTTACCAGGACTTACAGGGCAATACAGAAAGCCACTGCTTTTATCATCAATGAAAGCCAACCTGGTCCCATTTGGATCAGGAAAAATCCTTCTAACACTGACAGTATGCCGATATTCATTCACATGTTGCCAGTCTTCAATGTAAAAATAATGAATCACACCAGCCTAATAAAAAATAAAAGTATCATTCCTTAATTTTAATACAAAACAATAACCCACAAAATAGTATCTACCACTTATCAACATAGGATTTCTCTTATCTAAAGCAAAAATTGATAATACACTCCGCAAATGAATTTATTTTGGTTAAATTTTCCCCTTTGATTTGATAAATTATTATCTACTATCCAGAAATTATTATGCTATATGTGATGGGAATACAGAGATGAATAAAAAACAGTCCTTATATTCAAAAAGTTTATAATCCAATAGCAGGATAAAATGAATGCTACATTTAGAATCAGAATATCTGGGTTCAAATTCCAGCTCAGCAACTTACTACCTACATGAACTTGGATGAACATAAATAGCTGGAAGGAATCTTAGAAATCATTGAATTCAATTCTTCCTATTTTGGAGATGAAAAAGCTGACCCTCAGAGAGGTTAAATGACAGCTGTAAGGCCACACAGGAGTAAGCAGCACAGCTGGAACTCAAACCCAGGTCTTTTGACTCTAAATCTAGTGCTCCCTATCATAGTATGCTGTGTCCCAATTCAGCCCCTTCATTTTATAGATGAAGAAACCGAGGTCCAAAAAGGTTAATTGGCTTATCCAAGTGATGTGTTAGGAATTATTCGTTAGGAAGATTTAATAAAGCAACAATGAAAGGACAGAAAGCAAGAATGAAGTCAAAAACTAGTTAATAAACTGTTAAAATAGCAAGGGCAAGAGGCACTGAGGACCTACATTTTGATGGTAGCAGTGGTAACAAAAGTAACAAACTGATGTAGAGTGAAATGGCAGAACCAGAAGAACAATTTACACAAAGATAACAATAATATAGAAGAAAACAATTTTGGTAGACCTCAGAATTCTGATCAAAGTCCATTCGAAAGACCAATGATGAAACATATATCTCCCACTTCTTAACAGAGAAGTAATGAATTAGAGATGCAAAATGAGATAGGCATCCTCAGATATAGCTAATGTTTTGATTTGCTTTGCCGGACTTCATATTTTTTATAAGTGAGAGCTACTACTTGGTGGAAATGAGGGAGTGGTAGATAAATTAGGATCAAGAAAAAAAAAAGGCAAAGAACAGAGAGATAGAGGAAGCAGGATATGTTATCTTAGAAGCCAGAAGAAGTTTTCACAAAATCACAGAAACTGGGTTGAAAATTAGTACACACATAAAGTATCAACAAAACATTTAAATACACAAAATTATTTTTAAGATTTATAAAATAGGACATAGAGCAGTTTTGTTATTACTTTGCTAAAGTATATGTCTGTGTTATCAAAGCTTAAAACCGCACTAGGACTTTAGGGACACCCTGCATTTCTTTAAATACATTTATGTAATAATTCAGATTTCTTATACAAGAGTTTTTGTCCTTTACATATTGAAATATGTATTTGTTGATGACATTAGTTCATGATAAAAAAATAAAATTTAAGTAAAAATTATAATTTTTTAAAAGGAAAAAGGAAACCAATTTGAAAAACATTTCAGAAGTAGAATCTATAGTACTTGACAACAAATCATATGTATAGGATAAGGAAGATGGAAGAATCAAAGAGGACTCCTAAAATTTAAGCCTGGGTGACTACATTAATCACAGTACCATTAACAGCACAGGAAAATCAGAAAGAAGAACAATTTGGGAGTTTGAGGGGAAGAGGCAGAATACAGTTTCAGATATGCTGAATTTTAGATCTCACAGCGGGACATCTAAGATACAGTTGTCAGCTGGAACTGTAAGACTGAAGCTAAAATATGAGTTCAAGATTAGAGATATAAATTTAAGATACATTTGCCTGGCTGTGAGAATAGATGAACTTTCCAAGGGAGAAATTATAGAAAGAAATTAGGGCCAAGAACAAAATCTTCAGAACTTAGATTTAGTTTTGTTTACTTTTTGGTGAGGTAATTGGGGTTAAGTGACTTGCCCAGTGTCACACAGCTAGTAAGTGTCAAGTGTCTGAGGCCAGATTTGAACTCAGCTCCTCCCAATTCCAAGCCCAGAGCTCATTCCCCCATGCCACCTAGCTGCCCTGATTTAGAGGGTGTTGAGGAAGGAAAAGGAACCAACATAAAGGAATGATCAGAGAGATATAAGAACTTGTTGCTCAGTCATTTTTTAGTTATGTCTGACTCTTCGTGATCTCATGTGGGGTTTCTTGGCAAAGATAACAGTAATTTGCCATTTCTTCCTCCAACAACTGGAATAGTGTAATTATCTTAGAAACCAATGGAAGAGTCAGAATCACAGAATCTGAGATGAAGACAAGGCCAACTTGAACAGGAATCTTGCAATATCTCTGCCAAATGCACAGTGCCTGACATTTTGTAGTGGCTGAATAAGTGCTTACTGTTGAATAACTGCTTCAGCATCTCTTTGAAAACCTAAAGAGAAGGGGAACCTGATCTCTTCCAAGGCAGCTCTTTCCACTTTTGAACAACTCTGGTTGTTGGGAAGTTTCTCCTTACATTGAACCTAAAGTTGTCTTCCTACAACTTCCACCCATGACTCCCAATTCTGCATTCAGGTGTTAAGCAGAACAAGTTTAATCCCTTTTTTGTGACAAACTTTAGGAATAAAGATAGCATGAGAAACTTTTTCAAGGAGGAAATGGTAAACAATTTCAGCAGAAAACAGATTGAGGATGATGAAATCTGAGAAAATTTCATTTGACAGGGAAAAAAAGTTACTTTTGACCTTTGACACAGTGGTTTCAGTTGAGAAATGGAAATAGAAATTAAAAGAGAGTAGATGGGAAAGTAGCACAAGGAAAAAGTATACTCGATAATTTGTCAGCAAAAGTAAGCAAAAAAATGTGGTGACAGCTTGAAGCAATGACAGATTTTTTTTCAAAGGAGAATAGAATCGAGCCTGTTTGTAGAAAAAACAGGAGAAAGACTGAGGCTGCATGAAAGAAAAAGGATAATTGATGGAGTAAAGGGTGAAAAACTAGTTGATGCTTCATTCTTTTGAATGAGGTACAGATATGAGATAAACAAATTAGTAAAATGACCCAGGTGAAGTAAAATAAGCATAAATTCACTTTAAACAGCCTTTGGGAACAAAAAAAATGAAATTCCTATAAAATCAATGCAAATTAAAAGAACTTTCAGGTTCTATCTCACATCTACTAGATTGGCAAAGATAGTCAGAAAAGAAAATGACAAATGTTAGGGGACTGTCATTTGAAAGGCACAGCTGTAAACTGGTTTAGTCATTCTGGAAAGCTGTTTGGAACCACACTCCAAAAGTCACTAAATTGTATGTAACCTTTGACCCAACTGTTCTACCACTAGGCCTATACCTTCAAAGAGATCAAAGACAGAAGAAAAGGACTCATATGTATTAAAATATTTATAACAGATTTTTGTTGCGGTGTTAGCAAGGAACTAGAAACAAAGGGAGTGCCTATCAATTGTGGAGTGGCTAAATAAATAACATACGTGAATGTAATAGAATATTATTGAACCATAAGAAATAATGAAAGGGTTGATTTCAGAGAAACCTGAGAAGACTTGTATGAACTAATGCATAATGAAGTGAGTAGAAACAAGAAACACTTTACACAGTTCCAACAGCACCGTAAAGAAAAATAATTGAAATGTCTAAGAATTCTTATCAAAGCAATCACCAATCACAACTCCAGAGGACACACGATGGAAAAACTATCACTTCCTGGAAGAAGGGAAAAGGACTCAAAGTGCGGAATTAGATATGTTTTAGACATGGCAAATGCATAGATTGCTGTGCTTCATTATATTCACTATATTTATTTTTCTTTTTTATTTGAGAAGGTAGGAAAAGTATGGCTACAAAAAAAGAAGAAAATAGGGTTATTTAAGGGGGGCAGCTAGGTGGCGCAGCGGATAGAGCACCTGCCCTGGAGTCAGGAGTACCTGAGTTCAAATCCAGCCTCAGACACATAACACTTACTAGCTGTGTGATCCTGGGCAAGTCACTTAACCACGTTGCCTAGCCAAAAAAAAAAAAAGAAAAGAAAAGAAAATAGAGTTATTTAATGATTTTATTAAATGCTAAAAAAAAAAAAGCAGTCTAGAAGGACACACAAACAAGCAAAACAGTTGTGAAAGTAACATATTGATACACAACTACAAAAATGTAAATGGAAAGAACCACAAAACAATTAAAAGTGAATTTTATTTAACATTTCATTTAAGAATGCAAAAATTAGGGGCAGCTAGGGTGGCATAGTGGAGAGAGCACTTGACCTGGAGTCAGGAGGACCTGAGTTCAAATCCAGCCTCAGACACTTGACACTAGCTGTTGTGACCCTACACAAGTGACTTAATCCCAATTGCCTCACAAAAAAAAAAAGCAAAAATTAAAAAGAATAAGCATGGGCCCAAATTAAAGATATAAGAAGATATCCCAGCCCTGCTTCTTTGAAGAGATGAGAGGAGGTTCATAGATATGGAACATTACATATATTTTCGGTCTTTTTCAATTTTGTTAATATTTTTCTTCATTCTTTTTTAAAAAATATTTGTTGGGGCAGCTAGGTGGCGCAGTGGATGGAGCATCTGCCCTGGAGTCAGGAGTACCTGAGTTTAAATTCGGCCTCAGACACATAGCACTTACTAGCTGTGTGACCCTGGGCAAGTCACTTAACCCCAATTGCCTAAATAAATAAATAATAAAAATAAAATAAAAGATATTTGTTATATGAGAAAGCCTTTAGGAAACAGAAGAGAGAAGGATAATAGGAGAAATTTTGGCCATGTAAGAACAAGACATCAACTAAATTTTTTAAAAGCAGGTAGTATGTTGAATTTTTTACTTATTTTTTAAAATCCAGCTACATGTGATCAAAATTCATGCTTTCACATTTATAGTTCCCCTTTTCTGTTCTATTTTATATATAGAAATATTCGTTTCTTGGTATTAAGTTCAGAATTTTAAAAATAAATTGAAAAAGACATTCCTGTAAATTAAAATATTAAGATTTATTAGAAGGGAAAAC